TTCCCTTCTGGGAGCTCCCCAGTCGCCGATTCCCTCGCAGTTATCTACCTTCTAGTGAGTCCAGGGTGTTTTCGTTTGGGTTAAAACTTGTAGTAAGTGAGTCTATAGTCCGTTTTCGGTCCTCAATTCCTATGCCGGCTTGGACGCGGTGATCTCGGCGTCTTTACTCTGCCGCCATCTTCCGGAAGCTCTGGTGGTTTTTAATATGGGTCATACTCACAGGTGTGAGGTGGTATCTCATTGGATACCATTGTAATCAGAGACGATACTTGAAATATCAGTCTTCAATAATTTATTGACACTTGTTTTGTCACCCAACATCTGGTCTATCCTAGAGAATGTTCACTCAGATATTGGGGGTTGGAGTGTATAGAGGGGAGCTCTGCTATGAACTTCCCTTTAGAAAGCTGAGATATCCAAGAAATTATTAAGTAAGCAATTGAATGATTATTTGTGACAAAGACACATGTAGGAGCCAGAGGTAAATGTTTGAACATCATAATGGCAAAGATGGTACTTTGCACCGGTGGGTGGGCGATGAGATGATGTTAAGGGTGAGTGTAGATAGGAAGATCTTGAGAATAAGAAGGGTTTCCAACAGAGAATGACACCAGTAAGGGATAACTGTGAAATGGGAGAACAACCAGGAGACTACATTGCTCTGGAACTCAAATAGATAAAGTATTTCAAAAAAGAGGAAGAGGTCAGCAGTGTCCCAAACTGTAAAAAACAGAACATAGTAGAATGTGGAATCAGTCATTAGATTTGATAAGGTCATTAGTGAACTTGGCATGAAGGAAGAATTTCTGTGGAGTGTTGGGTTATGGAAGCATGATGGGTGGACTGGAGAGGGAATAGAAAGTGGGGAGGTGCTAATAGCAAGTATAAATAACAGGCTTGAGAAAGGTTGCTGTGAAGGCTAATTGGAAGAATGGGCAGTAGCTGGAGGTGAATGCTGGGGTCAAGGTAAGGTTAAAATGCTTAAGATGGCCCTCCCTGGTGGCGCAGTGGGTTAAAGCACAGCACTGAGAATCTAAAGCCTCTTCCGCATGAGTTTGACTCCCGCCTGCCCCGGAGGTGACCACGTGGTGTGGCAGACCTCTCCTGACCCGCCCGCTGCTCCCCTCAGCAGTGTGCTTCGTTGATCTGCCTGTTCTGTTCCCCACTCTGTCTCTGGTGAAGCCTCCGCATCTCTGCATCTCTGGCCTGTACCCCAGTTCTGTATGCATAAATAAATAAATCTTTAAAAAAATGCTTAAGATGAGGCTGTTCAAGGATGATTATAAACTAATGTGTGAATATTCAGTAGAGGGGAAATTGATGTTTCAGGGAAGTGCTGGAGTCAGTGAGAAGGGTTACTGTCTAGAACACAGGAGAGGAGTTGGTTGTAGGCAGGAACAGTGCTGAAGGCAGAGTTCCTGGGTACGGCAGTAGGTGGAGAGGTAGATTTAATGATGGCATCGAAAACAGAAAGACAAAGATGAAATTCATTATGTTAAGTGGATGGTTTGTGCATGAACTATGAAATAACCATATCATTGTGTACTAAGGGCAACAGTGGTCAAAATAAATTTGGAATTCTCATCTCATTTCAAGCTTAAAGTCAATGGGCATTGTCTTTAAATAGATGGGGAAGTGTAGATGTTGCTAGAAAGCCTAGACCCCTTTCCTACTCCCCTAGTTGAATCAAATAAAGAATCAAATGGTAGAGAACAAGGCACAAGAGACCTGATCAGTCTCATTTTTAAACTGATTGGCACTTCAGAATTGAGTCTTCTCTTCTGAGGGTTGAATTTCTGATTGAGAAATACTACATACTAAATACTTATAACTTCTTGGGGAGTTTATAGTGATTTTGAGGGACACTGAATGTTAAATTCCCTGGTTTCTGATCAGATCTGGGTTTCTCTGTGTTAGCCTTCCCTCCATCAAATTTCGGGGTGGAGAAAGGCAAAAAGAGGACTTTGAGGACTTAGCCTCCTTGTTGGTGCTTCACCTTGGATGTCTTGTGAGTCGTCGGCTATAGTAGAAGAGACATCATTTTCCTTTACTGGATACTTTCTTTTTTTTTAAGATTTATTTATTTGTGAATACAGAACTGCGGTACAGGCCAGAGGTGCAGGGCGGTGAGAAGATTCACCAGAGACAGAGTGGGGAGCAGAACAGGCTGACTGACGAAGTACACTGCTGAGGGGAGCAGCGGGCGGGTCAGGAGAGGTCTGCAGCGCCATGTGGGTCACCTCCGAGGCAGGTGGGAATCAAACTCATGCTGCAGTGGCTTTAGCTTCTTAGTGCTGTGCTTTAATCCGCTGCGCCACCAGGGAGGCCCCTTTACTGGATGCTTTAAAGGACAGAGTTATTGCCTTGTTTGTTATCTATCATGGAGCTAATGTAAAATGAAGATTCATTCTTTTCACTTCTCAGAAGAAAAAAATCTGCCATTTTCATGTTCTGCTGTTTGTTTTTTTTTATTTTTTTGAAAGCTTTGAAAAATGGACTTGTTGGAAGGACGGCTAATGCTCAAAACGTGGATTGAAATTTCATCTGGAGAGTATTACTATATAGGATCCCATTTTAGGATATACAGTGATTCCTGGCCAAGTTTTTTTGCAGTAGAAGGGAGAGAGCTCAGAATAAATATTTTGACTCTGAATGATGACCTGATTGCCCTGAATCTAAGTGTCAGAGAGGCATATCCACCAAGCAATCACTTTGCTTGCAGGCTGGCAAGGGCCTCCCAAATAACATCTGAATTAATTGCAAGCCAGGGGAGCAGTATCTGATGCTATATTACGTAATCTAATAGAATCATATTGAATATAAAACTTCAGCATTGGAATACATTTTTAAAGGGGTTGTTTAAAGAATTTCTTCATAATTTCTTTGGTGGGTATGTGAGCTAATTATAAACAAAACATATTCTGGAAAAACTTCAAATTTTCCTCATCTGGACATATGAAAAGGTTTGAAAACATCCCTGTGGATATTTCAGTTAGCTTCCTAAACTGCTTCCAGCTGTCTTTATTCCTATCCAGCAAGGCAGAGAGTAGGTACATACAACATAAAATAAGACCAGTTATTCTGGGATCGCTTCTCATCTTGGATTCAGCAGGATCTCTTGTCCTTTCTCTTAAAGCCTTAGTTAAAACTAAGTTTCCAGATATGCCAGGCAAGTTCAGTTTCTGATTCCCAGCAAAAACTTTGTTTGCTGGGTTCTGTCTCCTAAGAAAAAATGAAAACAGTCCTTACTGCTTTAGGATTCTGATGTAGTCACACTAAACTGTTTCATTGCTGAATTCTATGGCTTTCTAGGGCCAAGTGTGCTTAATGGCGTTTGTGCTGCCTCAAGTCTGAGTAGCATTATCTCAAGCCTGGCACTCCCCTCCAGAAGCCAAAGCAGTTAACTAGCAAAGAGTCTAATAACTCAACTTTAATAAATGTCATGACCATTGCCATCTAACTTTTATCACTTGCGCTTACTGTAGGACCTTTATGTTTGCATTTCCTCTCATCAGGAGCACTCCCTGGATCTCACCCAATGGACTTCTTTTGCTATTCAGGTCTCCCCCATAAAGGTCACCCACTCAGGGAGGCCTTTTTGTCCTACCTCGAGTGTCCCCTCCCTCGCTGTCACTTTAAAATGTGTTATTATCTGTAAAGCCTTCTCACTTTCTGGAATTACCTTTTTCAATTATTAACATGACCAGAGTTAGCATTATTATTAATCATCCTAATGACAAGAGCAAATAGAAGTTTTCTCAGTGTGTCTTACACCAAACCTTTGTATTTTAAATACGTCTTAGCAGTAAAAAAGTATTGAATATTTACTATTCACAACACTGAGCTCAGCAATTAGCACACTAGTCCAGGTCATTTCTTGTCTCAGTCCCCAACATGGCTTTCTGATGGCCCCCTCCTCCATTTTAGCCTCCCTACTGTCCAGTGTCCACAGAGCACCTGGTGATTTTTCTAAAAGTGGTTTACTTTAAACTTTTTCTTTGCTACATTGAGGATAAGAGTTCCATTTTCTATATTATGAGATGGCATGGAGGGTCATAAGCATCTGTATTGCACTTAGATTTGGGTGATGCAGTTAGCTGCTGTTACATATAACTCAACCACCCCCAAATCCAGTAGCGTGAGGTAATGGACACTCACTGTTCCTCACAGACTGTGGATCAGCTGGTCTTCCTGGGCCCACTCACACATTGTGGGGAGGGGTGGCGCTGCTCGTCCTGGCTGGGCCCACTCTGCGTCTGGGCTGTCACCAGGCTAGCACAGCCCTGCTTAGGTGCCAGGACATCATCCTGCAGTGACTGGATGCAGCTGTTTCCCACAGCAGTGGCTGAGTTCCAAGAGCAAGACTGCAGATAACCAGTCTTGAGGCCTCCGATTGGCACAAGTTAGCAAAATGGCCACTTTCCACTGGTCAAAGCACAGGGTGGAGAAATTACTGGTATGGAGGAGCTGTGGTATCACACTGCAGAGTGTGGGCACAGAGAGACCACTGACTGGGTCTTGAAGGGGGCATTGGGTGTGGCAGGATACAAGGGAACTGGTATCATTCCTCAAAGACAAATGCCCTTTGACCTCCAGCCACCTCTCTGAGATCTGGGAAACAACACAGAGCACAGACTGCTCTAGGCTTTAGCCCTGGCACTGCTCTCTCCTCCTCTCCCAGAAACGATCTCATTGAAAGTTCATCTCTTATGTTTTTGCAGTTCCAGAGAAAACTTTATGTTGAGTGATGCCTGGGATAAGCTATATGTCTTCATGGTTGTCGTGCTGGTGTTGGAGTCTCCGCAAATAACAATGGCACCTTGCCTTGCAGGATTATGCCCACATGCTGACCTGTGTCACTGAGAGAGAGAAGTTCATCGTGCCCATTAAGGCCAAAGGGGCACGAGCCATCCTGGACTTTCCCGATACGCTTAACTTCTCCACATGCCCTGTCAAATACAACACCCAGAAGATTCTGCTGGTACAAAACATCGGCAACAAAGACGCGGTGTTTCACATGGAAACTCATAGGTAGGCATGTCCTCGGCTTTTGTTTCTGATTGATGCCAGCTAGTTCTGGTCAGCACAAGTCATTTGCTAGAATAGCAGTCAGGCGCCAACTGCTCGTTAACAGTCTTGGATTGCAGTGCAGGAAGATGCCTGTTCATCCCAAACAGGAAACAATATTCAAGGTTACCAGTTTGGTAGTAATGGTGTTTTGAAGAGCTGGATAAAAACCTTTCTATTTAGCATAGAGACTGGCCCAAAGGGAATCCATTAACAACCATATTTGTTTTGACTGAGAATTTTATAACTGGCTGTGCTTGTTTTCCATTGCTATTGCAACAGATTGTCACAAATTTAGTGACTTGAAACAACACAGATTTATCATCTGACATTTCAGTAGGTCACAGGCCTCTCTGCGCTGAGGCCAGTGTCCTTGGAGCCATGTGCCGTAGTGCCGGGGGAAGACACCCGCAGGCAGTGTCCGCTCTTCCTCCCATGTGTCCTGGGAGCATCACTGTGTACGGATCATTTCTTGTAGCTCCGGACTTCTGTCTGGTATCCTGCTTCTTTATTTTTTAAAGGACTTATTTTTATTTAATTTATACCTGAACTGGGGTGTAGGCTAGAGGTGTGAAAGGTGATATGATCCACCAGAGACAGAGTGGGGAGCAGAACAGGCGGATCTACTGAAGTACACTGCTGAGGGGAGCAGCGGTGGGACAGGAGAGGTCTGTTGCACCATGTGGGTCAGCTCCCTGGCTGCGGTTCGAACTCTTGCTGCAGTAGCTGTGGAGAGCTTCAGAGTGCTGAGACTTAACCCCTTGCACCATCAGCGAGGCTCCTACTTCTTTTTTTGGTTGACTAATACTGTTTCTGGCAGCACAGGTCTATTGGAAATTCTTTCATGTTTTGTCTGTCTGAAAAAGAAGTCATTGTTTTGCCCCCATTTTTGTAAGTTATTTTTTCCTGTAGTATATTTTCTCTGCATTGATGATTATATATGCACCTATTTTTTTTTTCTAGTACTTCCAAGGTGTCACTTCCTTGTCTTTTCGATTACATTTTTCTAATTGAAACTCTGCTGTCATTTTTAGCTTGATTCCTCTCATTGTGACTGCAGTAGCCCCGTTTACCTGCAGAGAGATTCCCACCCCCACTGGGTGCCTAAAGCCATTCATAGTAATGAATCTGTATGTGCTGTTTTTCCCTGTACATACACGCCTATGACAAAGATTTATAAAATCAGTACAGTTAAGTGATTAACAACATAACTATTAACAGTAAAATAACTACTCAAAATAATTATGGCAAGATATTATAATAAAACTTAGGTAAACGAGCTCTTCTCTCTTTCACAAAATATCTTAGTGTACATATTTTTAGATCACGGTTGACCAAGGGTAACTGCAGTCACAGGACGTGAAGCTATGCATAAGGGGGTGCATAGTTTTGTGTGCTGTCTTTGAGATCCTGTTACATTTGGTTTAGCAGTTTACATATCATGGGTCTAGGTATGGGTTTGGTTTCAGGGTTTTCATTCTGTGTTGGTTTCAGTCCTGAACGAGGTTCTGTGAGCTTTCCAGTATTTGGGAAGCACATCTCAGCTGTTGCCTCTTCAGATAATTTTTCTGCTCCATTCTCGATCTGTCTGCCAGAAACAGGAAAGTCCATGCATGCCCCATCTGGGGATAGGGAGAGTGTCCGTGTTTAGTTGTCAGCCACTCGTGTGCCCTGATAGCTCAGCTCTCTGGTGGGTTCGAGAAGATGTTTGTCTGGTTTTGGTTTTTTCACTGTGAAAAGGGGGGGAGACACTCTAGCTTTCTAGGTAGATGTGAGATTCTGAAGCAATTTAGATGAAATTAACCATCAAGGGGAAAAAAAAAAAGTCTTTTTGAAAGTCAGCCATCACCCATAAATGCTTGTGAAGCCTTCATCAGTTTATGGTGAACTCCCCACAACATCTGACTGAGGAGAGGCAGGTTGCTGAATTGGGTCACCATGACTTAGAAAGAATACATCATTTTTATTTTTAAACAAGGCCTCCCAGAACCACTATCCGTAATACATTAAAAACTTCCTGTTGCCTTGGTACTTTTCCTATTAAGCCTGTGAAGCATAGCTTCCTGAACTGTTAAATCTTAAAAGCCACAGAATAAATGGCTATTTCTTACATTTTTACAGTTTCTTCCATTTGCATTCATGTAAAAGTGAAGTAAAATCACCCCACAAATTTACTAATATGAAGTTGCAGGAAAGATGTAAACCTTTTCTTTCTGTTCCCCTACATAAGAATGCCAACCACCTTCTCCTAATATGGAAACACCAATCAACTCAGGGACTAGCCGAGACTCCCAAAGACATCAGACACTAGTCCAACACCCCCGTTCTACAGAGGAAGTCAGGTCTAAGAAGGGAAATGGCTTATCCAAGCTCACTCCCCAGGTTAGCTGATAGCCAAACCTGAATTAAAACAAACATGAGTCTGTCCTGGGCGTGTTTCCTCCCATCCATGCTTTCATGTCCCGTCTCCCCCCCCCCACCACCACCTCCCTTAGCTTTCCTAGCGTCCCAGGTCAGTTGGATTCCAGCTGGGTCTCACCATTGGGAGGCCCCAGGAGAGGTTGAGGGTGGGGAGAGCCCTGGGTGTTTCTCTTTCCTCAGCCTTTAGCAGAGCTCCAGCAGTGGCTGCTGTCAATCCTTGATCCTCCACCAGCAGCTGTTAGCACTGCCTCTGGCTCCAGCCCAGGAGCCAGGTGGAAATGGCTTCTTTCTTTTAGTAATCCCTGAGCTACCTTACCCTCTAAATTGGACTCCTTGCTTCCATCTTCTGTGTAATCAAGTCTCTCAAATAAATTCCCTGTTTGCAAACATTTTTGTTTCCCTGTTTGGACTCAGCATGAAAGAGTAGTTACCCGTTCTTTCCACAAAAGGCATATTTTCCAACCATGTTTTCAATTCTGTGAGCCAAGCTCAGGTCCTCCCAGTAAGTCCCCTTTCAGTTTAAGAAGCCAGAATAGTTTTCTGTTGCTGGCACGCGCGAACCTCGGTGGCTGTGGCGAGAAAGGATGTGGGTAGGTCTCTGGTCATGTCGTGTTGAATCAGGCTCTCTGGAGCTCTGACAAACATCCATTCTAAAAGATGCACAGGGGATTGCGCTGCCCAGACAGGGTGGAGGCCGCCCCTTCCGTGCTGGTGACTGGCAGTAGCTACGGGATCGCAGTGGATACAGTTGGAAGTATTGGAGTCAGTATGCAGTCTTGGGGCTGCCCTCTGGAGTCAATCTCTAGCTGGATCCAGCACCTCACAGCAAACTGTTCCAGAAGCACATTTTGTTCTTTTCATTGAAATAGTGATTTAGTGGATGGCTACGTTTATCAATGGCTAGCTGCCTACAAGTTAAAAAAACGAAAACTTTCCTTGTATGGCCGTGGCACCCATTAGACTTGGGCTCCTCAGGTGCAAAGATTGTAGACTCCTCTTTCCGTTTGTACGTTCCCAGCATATAGCAAAATGTCTTGAATAACTAAATGCTCAATAAATGTTTATAGGATGCCTAAACAAAATATATCACAAAGACAAAGCTTCACCTATAATAATTTTTAAAAATTGTGCTCCAAGTACTATAAAATAGGCATAATTTTTTTGTACCAATAAAAGGAGCTTCAGTGTGCTATAAAATAATACAGAGAAGAAGATAAACCACTATTTTTCAATTTTATTACAAATTTGACCTGAAACCCTGGTGTAGGTATCAGAAAAATTTTGACTGCTCAAGGAGGATTATTTTTTGGAAGATGAAGTAGAAAGGATTAAGAAGCTAAATCCTCAAGTGAGGAATCATTTCATAAGAAAGATTACCTGGAGAAATAATACTAAAGCTATATTCATATTTAACATGTTAGAACCAGCCATTTAGTCTTCTGCTAAAATATTGAATCATTTGGATGGAATAGTTTAGTTCTTACAAGCAGTTCATGGTGGATTGAACAAAACCTCAAAATCTTGCTCAATGACTCATGATTTTTCAGAAACACAAGTTCCCTCCCCAGTCAAGTATTGGGTATTCATGAAGATGCGATCTCAAAACCAAGCATTTTGCCTCACACCTTTGAGGAACAGTACCTTTTACCAATTTGTAAGACTATTTTCTGATACTTGACATTATTTAGCCTGTTCAGCCCGTCTGCTTTTAATACAGTGAATTACAAAATGGAATTACAGACGATGTTTAAGCACCAGAATTTAACACACTCTACCCAATCTGATTTATTGCAAAAGCTTAGGCAGCTCTAAGTAGCAGTGGTTACCCCAGGTGATTTTCTACTAAAGAAATTTTGTGTAATATGAACCCAGCCATTAGCGCAACAGGAAGGTATCTGTTACCACTGTATGGGATTTGGAATTCTGGAGGTCCTAGAGAATGGTCATTTTTTTCTTTAGAAAATCAGCTTAGATTCTGCCTGGTAATACTATCCAACTGAATTCAAAGCCATTCTTTCGTTACCAAGAAATGTTTGAAAAGAAAATGAAAACACAACACAGGAATAAAAATATTAGGAATTAGGGAGACAAAGACAGAAAAAAAGGTTACAGCATTGTTCCAAAAGCCATGTGGCTGGGCCCAGTTCTCAGCACTTTAGATTCTTACTGAGAAGGTGAAGAAGGAAAGACATTTGAAGACTCCAAGACTCACCTTCATCTGCCACGAGGCAGAGGTTCCTGAGATACTGAAAACCTAATCCTTTTCTATTCCACCACAAGGTTTTAAAGATCAAAACACTTTTAAAAAACAATTTATTTATTTATGCATACAGAACTGGGATACGGGCCAGAGATGCAGGGGAGGTGAGAGGATTTACCAGGGACAGAGTGGGGAGCAGAACAGGCAGATTGACAAAGTATACTGCTGAGGGGAGCTGTGGGTGAGACAGGAGAGGTCTGCTGTGCCATGTGGGTCACCTTCAGGGCTGGGGGTTGAGCATGCACTGAAGGCAGCCGCTGCTAGCTTGCAATGCTGTGTCCTAACCTGCTGCACCACCAGGGAGGGCCAAGGTTAAAACACTTTTATAGATATTGTTATTTCCCTTTTAAAAAGTTGATGTAATTCAGCTCATGGAGACTCCTATAAGTAAAGCACAGTACATGGGTGGTGAGAAGCGCAGAGATGCATGTAACACATGGCTTCCATGTCCAGGTTGAATTGGGGTGGGCAGAAAGACCTTAAACTTAAAAGGCAGCCTTTTCTAGTTCTGCTCCACCACTGTCTCGTTGGGTAATTTGAGGCCAGTTGTATGTTTTCTCATGTCTAAAATACAAACAGTACTTTTCTCAGAGGTATTTTGAGGACTGGAAGAACTGACATCAGGGAAGTGCCCAGCGCAGAGCACATGTTCATGAGATTTTTCTTTTCCTTTCATCTGAAGAATCTCTAGCTACTCAAGAGAGCCAGACTTGAAAAGAAACTACAGTGTGAGATCTATTGAAGTAAGAGGTAAAAAGAGTTATCCCCTCTGAGAGGAAGGAGACACAGTTGTTAAGAGGAAGAATCGGAAAATTCTGTTTAAGGGGTGACTTCCAGTCTTGACAGAGGAGTAAGGCATATGGAAAATGGCATTTCTTTGTGACCCCAATAGTTCGGGGATGTCTGTTTAGGGGACACAATCTGGTTGTAAGGGTGAGGAGAGAGAATGGGGCGTAAAAATTAAAGCTGTCACATCCCATGCCACCTGACCACACCCTATCCCACACCCCAGCCTGACTTGGACTCTGGCAGGTAGAGAACATCTTTGGACAGATGTACTTGTTTGATGGCAGTGTAAAAACTTGTGAATACAGATTGTGTTGGATCTAGGAATTTTGAACTTTCTTACATAGATCATAAGGACCACTGGCAATCTCTGCAAGTTCTCTGCTTGCCCCTCCCTGCCTTATTTTTTTCTAGGTCACATATACATCTGTATATATGTCTCACATAACATCGAATCAGAGACTGAAATATCACCATCTTTTATAAAAAAGACCCACCCATCCCACTCCACCCCAACCTGATTTGGACTACAGCAGGTAGAGAAGATATTTGGACAGATGTATGTGTTTAATGGGAATGTAAAAATTGGTTGGGGACAGAGCGTGTTGGCCTGGGATATCTGTTTAGGAGAATCAATCTGGTTGTAAGGATGAAGAGAGAATGTAGGTGTAAGATTAAAGCTGTCACATCCTATCCCACTTGATCACACCCTAGATTGTTGTATCACAATCTTTTGTAAAAAAAGATTGATGTGTTAAGACCTGTGAGTGTTTCTGCACATTCTCTCTCTAGAATGGTATGAAGGACCGGGAGGAGAATGAGAAAAACCTGAACTCATCCAAATACAGTAGCTCCTCCCAGGCGCATCTTCCTACTGAGAAGTGACAGACATCACAGTGACCATCACAATAACAATACTTGTTTAGCAGTTCTTGGTGCAGGCATTATTCTAAGGCTTGACCCACAGCAACTCCTGCAGTCCTAGGCAGCTGTTGTCCTTTTACAGAGGAGGAGAGTGAAGGTTAAATGACTTGCTCAAGGCCATGGCAGAGCTGGGTTTTGAGCTCAGTTGGCTCTTGGCTAGGCCATGGTGCCTCTCCAGCAAAGCCTGGAGTCCATTGGGGCACTGGTGCTGTAGGCACTGGAAAAGGAATGGAAAAAGAAGTGTAAGTTGAGGGAGATGCAAATGGAGGGCACCAGAGAACATAAACAGCATCTGTCTTCGGGAGCACCAAGAGGGCCTGTGGTAATCATCGCTGATGTTCCCCTGGCTGTGAATGCTGGATCCACACAGAAAGCCTAGGTTTTCTGAAATTAAGTTCATTATCTAAGGGAAGATTTAAGGAATGAAGATTCCAGAAACGGTTGTAATAGAAGTAAATAATCAGAAACAGCTTAGCCTGCCAGATACCTTGTACAAACACATTACTTTGAAAAACTAGCAATTTAAAGAAGTGAAATGGACCATGAAAATAATTAAATGGGCTGGCTTTCCTATTTTGAAGGAAGAAATCTGTAAGTTGTTTAAGGTACTTTATGATCAGACCCAGCACCTCTTTCCTGCTCCCTTCCAGGACAAGGCAATGGAACTATTTCCCATTTCCAAATCCACCTTCCCTCCCCCAAGTCTGCCCCAATTCTGTTTTCAAGCATGGTCTTGTCCCCAGTTTTCTGTCCCAGAAGCACTCTCCAGCGTCTGCAGTGTGTGCCGGCCTGTGGGGCGGGGGCGGCTGTCAGCAGGTCTCTTGCCTTCAGTTCAGCCAGTGGGAGAACTGGCAGACAGCCAGATAGGGAGGGTGTGTGGGCAGGGCCCCAGGGGCTCCCCTGTGAGGCCTCCAGAGCTGACTCTCCCTCTTCCCTGCAGCTCCTGGCTCCTCATAAGCTCCAGTCTCTTAGGATTCTCATGGTTCTTTGGACTTAGAACCCTGGTGACAGCGTCATCTCTTACTGTTCCTTCACACCCCTTGTGAAACAGACCCTTACATTTATCTCATGTGCTCTGTTACCACTCTTCTTCTGGGGTGCTGATATTTTTTCCATTATGAAGCCTTCTCCTCTCAAAACTTTCGTAAAACTTGATTTTCATCCCCTTAAAGGTACTGTTCTTTTGCATATCACAGTATTTATGTCCCCTACTGAAGTCACTCAGTGAAGGTTAAAAGAATGGCTGTGTGGCAAGGGCAACAAGCAAGAATATCTTCGCACCATTTAAGTTTCTCTTAACACTCACTGGTCTATTGTTTTAACTTTGAAGCTGAAATTGTCTCACATCAGAGGAGAATTACACCTACTGTCTGAGTCACTGACCCCCGGAGGTGGACCCGAGCTGTCGGCCGCCTAAGCCCCCACTTCTAGGGATGGATTCTGATGACAGGTCTCCCTGTGTGTTGCAGGCCTTTCTCCGTGGAACCATCTGTTGCAACTCTTAATGTGGGAGAGTTCATGCAAATAGAAGTGCAGTTTGATCCCCAGACGGTGGGCAACCACAGCGAGAGACTTATCGTGTATTATGACACAGGTATGCACAGGTCTTTTTTTGTAACAAGTCACCTTAAGGAAGGTAAGGTGAGAAATATGATGAAGCAGAATGGGAAATATGAAGCAGAATAGGAAATGCCCATTTTGGTGGAATTAGAGTAAGCCAGGACCCACAGCTAGAAGACTGAAGAATGAGTAATCCTGACAGACATGTTGAGCCAGAGCTCTGCCCCACCTGGATGGTTTTACCAGAGTTGGAAAGTCTGAAGAATACAGGGCTCAGGAAGGGTCCTCTACCCAGAAGTCACACCAGTAGATTAAGGTTATTTACATGTAAATGGGACTTGAAGGTAGCTTTATGGCCCTTGGCTTTTCATTTGATTTATTGCCACTTTTGTCTAACATTAAAAATAAATAAACTCCTGTTCAGAATGTTCTCGTAGCAACCACTAGTTTTTGTAAGCTCAGTTACTTTCATCCTCAGGATGTGCAAATATCTTATTTAACATCCCCCTTAACTGTAGCTATTGCCATTAACATTTTCTTGAAGGCCAGAACCTACAAACCACGTAACTTACACCTTGCTTTTGCAAGAATCGTGTAGCTTGCATGTACATTGTGTAGTTCTCCAAAGTTGGCTTTCAAATTAATATTTTATCATTGCCATTTATTATTTCACAAGTTGTCTCATTTCTTTCTCTCATTTTTCACCCTTTCATGTTGATGGCCTACACTGTGTGCATCAGAAGGGTATTTTAGGGCAAATACAGAAATGCACAGGCAGGGGATGAGCAGCGAGTGACCCTTGGTCGCAGTTCAGAGCTACTGGCCTTGTGGATTCACACCTGAGCAGGACAGTGCAAGCCCTTTCCTGAGGGCTTGAGGAGACACTGTTCTGACTCCACATCCGGCACACCAGCCACACTCAGCCCGTGACACAATCTGTATTTCTTGCATTTTAGCAATTGCCATGATGCACTAGCTGCTAGCATGAGAAACCTAACTTGAACTAGCTTAAGCAGGAAGGGGGATTTTGACCCTTGTAGAGTAACAGGAGAAGGTTAAAAGTGTAGCTCATCACACGCCGTGAGAGTTCCAGTGGTTGTCATTAGTGGTTGCGTTGGCCTGTTTATTTTAGACACATTAGTGGTATAAAGTGGCATCCTCTATAACGATTTTAAATTACAATTAAAATAGAAAATTTCATTTCTCTAATGATTAAATTGTCTTGAGCCCCTTTTCTAATGTGCTTCATGGTAATTCTTTTTGTTTTTATTTACATTTTTAAAAATTGTTTACAGCATTCTTCATTTTTTTGTACAATATATGCTTTTTCATCTCAGTTGCAACCCCCTGGGCTTCCCACCACCATTCACCCATGTTCCATCACCATAGTCCTCTGTGTTCTTCCCAGCCCTGTTTTAATCCTATTTCCCTCCCTCTCCCCAGAATATTTGGTTTATAGTTGTTTGTTTATTTTAGTTTTTACTTTATTACAATTACTTCCCCCTTCCCCCTCTGCCCCCATCCTTTTATGAATGAAACCGTCTGGTATTTTTCTTTCTCTTTCTGGCTTATTTCACTAAGCATGATCCTTCCCAGTTCCATCCATGTTGCCATAAATAGCATGAGTTTATTCTTTTTTGATTGTTGAGTAATATTCCATTGTGTATACACTACATCTTCTTGATCCGGTCATCAATTTTTGAGTATTGGGCGGATTCGACATCTTCCCTATAGCACTGCAATAACTAGACAAAGACCTGAAACCATAAAATATATAGAAGAAAATATTGGTGAAACACTACATAACATACACCTCAGTGACATCTTTAAAGATATATCACCCAAAGCAAAGTACATGAAGGAAAAGATAAACACCTGGGACTATATCAAATTAAAGAGCTTCTGTACAGCAAAAGAGACATTAGCCAAAACAAAGAGATTGTTTTGGAAGAAAATTTTTGCACACATTACTAATGATAAAGAACTGATCACAAAGATCTATAAAGAACTGGGCCCTCCCTGGTGATGCAGCAGATTGGAGCGCTGCACTTGAAGCTAACCAAGCTGTGGCCACTTCAGTATAAGTTCGATTCCTGCCCTGGAGGTGATCCACATGGCACAACAGACCTCTCTCTCTCTCTCTCTCTCTCTCTCTCTCTCTCTCTTTCTCTCTCTT